AGGCCAATAGGTTTATCAAGTCTCCAAAGTTAGTGGATTTAGACCTTGAAACTGTGGAGTCTCAACTAGTGAAGATAGGAGGAGAGTTGGAAGGAGAGCTAAGAAAGTAATTTGTATGCTAGTATATAAATGTTTTTGCATGGAAATATAAAGATATGCAAGGCATTGATCTTGTGCTGGTTGTCCATTGAATTCCTTTGATACCTAGAGCTGTTCCTATTTGTCAGATGCCTTACAGGACCAATCCACACTATTCAAGAGTAGTGCAAGAGGAGATGTTGCAAGTAGGATTTATTTTAGAGGTGGAAATTAGTGAGTGTCTTTCTCCTATTCTTGTGGTTAAGAAGATGAATGGACAACTTAGGGTTTGTGTAGATTACAGAAAGTTGAACAATGCAATAATTAAGGATGGTTTTTCATTGCCATTTACTGATATAGTGTTGGATTTAGTGGTAGGGCATGAGCTCTATTCTTTTTTGGACAATGGTTATAGTCAAGTGCAAATAGCAAAGAAGGATCAACTGAAGACCACTTTTGTGACAGAGTCAGGGTGTTATGCATATAGAGTTATGCCTTTTGGCCTGTGCAATGCTTTAGCAACATTTCAAAGAGTAACTTTTTAGCTAGATATGTAGGATTTTATGGAGGTATTTCTGGATGATTTTAGCATATTTTACAACACTTGGAAAAGTTATGTTTTAACAGGTATAGGCAATTTAGGATCTTGTTAAATCCATTTAAGTGCAGTTTTGGAGTGACACATGGGGTGTTGCTGGGTTGGATTGTTTCACAGGATGGCTTAGTTATTGATCCTAGCAAGACTAGGTTGATACAAGCATTACCAGCTCCAGTGGATGTGAGGCAATTGCAAGGAATCTTGGGTCATATAGAATATCATTGCAAGTTTATACATAGTTATGTAGAGAAAGCTTTGCTTCTAATAGAGTTTTTGTGCAAAGATGTAAAGTATAATTGGATAGACTGCCCACAACAAGCTTTTGAGGTGTTGAAGCAAGCTCTAGTCATAGCTCCAATTTTGAAGATGCTAGACTGGTCTTGAGATTTTCATGTCCATATGGATGCTTTAGCAGTGGCAATTGGCTCAATTTTATAGATGGGATCATCCTCATAGCCAACAACTCTCAATAGCAGAGAAGAATAATTTAGCAATAGAGCATGAAGGAGTTGGAATGATTTTCACTATGTTTCAATATTGCCATTATCTACTGAGAAAGGAGTTTGTTTTTTATTTGGATCATTAGGCCTTGAAATATCTTTTTTTGAAGCCGTGCAGGACAGAAAGTGTGATAAGGTGGCTTCTGATTTTATAGGAATTTCAGTTCAAGATTATGTTGAAGTGGACGAAGTCATAATATGTTTGATCATCTTCAAGGTTGCCAACTTCTACTATGGATGGAATTACTAGAGTGGATGATGAGCTTCCAGATGCTCATCTTTTTCAGGTGGTTAGCAAGGAGCAAGTGGATGTAGAGGTTTTTTAGGTCGAAGAAATACTTAAGTGGTACCATGGAGTGGCAAATATTCTCTAGATTTCTCTAGTAAAGAGAAGAAGCAGTTACTTCTTCAATCTCGGCACTTCACTTTGATTTCTGGGCAACTATACCATGTGGGAAATGATGGAGTGTTGCAGTGATATGTGCTAGCTCATGAGGTACTTGAAGTTATTTCTGCATGTCATGAATCACCTTTTGGAGGACATTTTTGTGAGGAGCTACAATCGTATTTCAAAGTATGTGAGAGGTTAGGATCCATGTCAAAGGATTGGGAAACTATCAAGAGGAGATATAATGCCGTTGTAGCCACTTTTGCCAATGTTGCCATTTGAGAAATGGAGAGTTGATTTTGTTGGGCCTTTTCCAGCAAACAAGCATACTCATTGCAAGTATGTGCTAGTTTGTACTGACTATGTGACCAAGTGGGCTGAGGGAAAAGTGTTGAAGGAAGTTACAGGTATAAAAGTTGCTGAGTTTTTGTACAAGTAAATTATTACTAGGTTTGGTTGTCCTTTGGAATTAGTAAGTGATAGAGGTTCTTATTTCTTAAATGAAGTGGTAGCTGCACTCACTAAACTTTATATTTGAAGCACAGGAAATCTACTCCATATTATCCTTGTTATAATGGACAAGTGGAACAAACAAATGGTACTCTTTGTACTATTATTTCTAAGACATGTAGAGGTAATCGAAATGGTCTGCAAAGTGTAGGACAAACACCTCAAGGATATTTTATTCAAGTTTGCCTTTAATTGGAAAGAAATGGACCTTAAACCACTGTAATAGAGGTTTTCTGAATTCTGCAGGTGAAGAAACACAAGGCAAAACCAGCTCGCTGATCCCATTGCTTGGCTACTCCTGACTGAATTTGTTGTTCTGGAACATGTGGAAAATAAGTATGTAAAGTTCCACTTGTTTGTGGGTTAGAAAATAAATGTTTTGACCCACCATTTACACATACATAAGTTTCTTGAGCACTACATACAACTATGTATATGTTACTTACATATGTATAAAAATTCCTATATGCACGCTGAACACGTTCTAAAAATTGTGCTGCAATAGTGCCATGCTTTGCAATACCATAAAGAGCGCAAACTCATTAGAGTGGCATATGGCAGCCAAAAGCTTATCCTACAGCTCCTCTTCACTGTTGTAGAACCATGACAAACACAATCTGTTCAAACATGTGCTAAAGGTTGGCATCCTTGCTTGCCACTCTACACAAAGTGCTGCAGGTGAATGCATGTTGCAATGGAGAGAAACTTGGTGCCTATTGTGTAAGCCTGCAGCCTCAACAAACTGCAATGATCCAATCCTTGCACAACATTCCAAAACTATTGTCAACTGCTCTCATTAAGCAAGTCCCTGTTGCATGCTACAAGCCATTCCAATGCAATGCAGTTCCCGTGTGGCTGCCTCCATGAAACAACATAATATGTGCATCTCTAGTAGTGACTAACGTTGACATTCTTTAAAAGTAGCCTTTGGTCTACAAGAGGCACCATATTAGCATATCAAATCAGATGCAAGTCAAAATAAAACTTTTAACATATTTTTCACTTCATACTTAGTGTTCATCTACATTGATAGAAAATTAGTAAATATATAAAAAAAAAAATAAAGCAAAAGGTAAGCTTAATTTATTTTATTAATGAAATTGACTTCCGTTTTGCTTAAATAATACTTTTTTTCCGCTTAAAAAGTAGACATTGATACTATACGTTGATCTAGACGATCAAACGAAGCTAGGTTTATGGAACAAAAAGTGGTGGTCACACAGAAAACTTTTGCAGCAAAGAGGAGACGGTCGGCAGAAGATAAATTTCGCTCAACTTGTATACCCGCATAGAGTGCTGCCAGAAGAGAATGCACGTCATCTAATGCAGGTATGCTCAACGCTTTCGCTGTTTTCGACTCCTGGAGAAAAAACCTCATACAAAAAACGGGGAGAAAGAAAGAACAACTTACTTACTTAACAGGAGAACCATGCGAGTTCCTTGTGTCCTTTAAAAGTGTCTGGTCCGCCCAGCACTTGGAAACCACTCCAAAGTGCATGATGCGTGAGCAGTCCGAGTCGACCAGCCATATGCTGTTGCTCCCATCGGTGCATATCAAGTTCTTGCGCACTTCCACATTGCCAAGCTCGTCACAGCACGACGCGACCTGCCAATTCTCTCCCTGCATCTCCGCAACGATCAGTCCCTCCAAATCTTCCGTATTGTCGTCCTCGCTCAGCACGAAAAGTCGGCCCGGATCCAACAGCACAAACGTCCACCTGGATCCCAACTCCAACTCGGTGGTGTCAAGATCCGCAATGCTCCACGAACCGTCCCACATGTTGTATCGCAAGACCCTCCACGTCTCCGTGCAAAGGATCACTGCCACACCGTGATGCAACATCGGATAGAAGCCGTTGTTGTGAATGGTACGGCCCATGTCTACGCAAGCGAGGGCCTGTCGAAGATAGCCACGCGAAACTGTGGCGTCGATCGATCCCTGTCGCGGCTGTACACCACCATGCAGTTGATGGGCACTGGTGGCAACGGAACTGTCACTGGGGAGGAGTTGATATCGCTGTAGCGCCACATGTAGATGGAGGAGGGCCGATCCAAGTCCCCAAACTGTGGCCAGGCACAGCAAGCCCGCGTCGGTGCTGGCGATGGTCATGGCCTCTGGGAGCGTCTGGAAGAGGCGCCACTCGCTGCGCGGGGAATTGTCGACTGGCTTGACGAAGAGGGATTCGGCGAGCCTGAGGGAAAGGTGAGGAATGCAGCCATGGGAGCGCGCGTACCCTTCCCGGAAGCTGGGAGCGTCGATTGCTCGTCGCCATTCGCGGCACACGCACCTTGCCTGGCACAGATCGATCGCGGACAGCTTTAACAAGACGAGCTCCAGCTCCGCCATGAAATCGCCTCTCGAGACGCGCTGCATTCTTGTGCCTTTGGGTAAAGAACAAGAACGAGAAGATATTTCATGTTATATAGCTTCAATACTTTACTTATAGGTAGGGCAGATACCCATGGAACATCGTATCTTGTCTATAAGGTTTACTTAATCGATCAAACGAAGCTCCCTCAAGAGATTCTCGTCCCTTAACTGGACAGTAAAACGGCAGGCCTTACAATTATATCGCGGCTGCGTGATCTTGTGATTGTTAAAATCAAGAAAACTGGAGGGCTCGCCACAAGTCTTGCAGCGCAGTTTGATCCCACTTGCCCTCTTGAAATCTTCTCGGGTGGGGCTTCCTTCATGGGCGGGCGTGAGCTCTGGGAGCGACAGCACTGCTTGAGACATTTAGACTATTACGGAAACCCTAGTCCGTGCATGACTGATATACCCAATGTCCAAAAGGTATTTTGGAATATCCGTAGTAGCATACAGCTTGTGAGACACTTCATCAAAGTGTTTCTAGGAGCTAGAAAGTTACCTCAATTCGTGGTGGCTTACTCAAACGCAAACTTCCGCATACTCAAACGCACCAACTGAATGAAATGACTCAATGACCTGTGAAAGTATTAAATGGTCAACTGTGGAACACAGGCAGCAAACCTGCACTGAGCGATTAAACAGCATTGTAATCGGACTCTGGTGACTCTGGCTACTAGAAATCGCCACTTTGTGTTATGCACTTACACTTGAATGGAGGATAGCGGGCCTTTTAACGGTTCTCCAATCCAACGAGTGATGCTCTGAAAGGATTGCCGCGGATAATGAATGAATATACAGTGAAACATACGTGATGTCAAGCGGCACGCCTCGCTGGTTACGAGTTTATGTAGTTTAGAGTCCCATACTCCTCAGTTGGGTACAAGTGGACTGTAAAGACAATCTTATGATACTCGCAAAGGGTACAAAACATATGCCACCATTCCCCATTGAATCACAAACCGGTTTACTGACTCTCCCGAAGCAATCACAGATTGAAGAAACACGAACAAAACCAATGTTTACCAGATATGTAGCATCTTCAGCTCTGCCTCCTCAAATTGCAATGGCAATCTGAGCCATAGCTGAAACAAACCTCTTAGGATCCAAAACCATCCTGCTCCCCAGGCCTTGGAGAACCTGATTGACGCACCTCGCATAGTTTGCACAGCCAAATACCTTCGGAGTTGGAAATAAACACGCCTGGTAAGAACGGCAAGTCCACAAACAAACACAAACCTGTACTGAGAGATGCGCAGCCCAGCTAAGCTCCTTCTTCAACACAAGCTCCGAATCGGGACGAGCAATATCGTCATCGCCATCCAGTGACTTACTCGTCCTAGAACAAAGAGTAAAATGAGAGAACCATTTGGAAACAAAGCGCTACACTTACCAACGACATGGCTGCTCCACTGCCTCGAGCTGAACACCAGGTCCGATCCACAAAACGGTGGAACCAAGTGCGCATTCTTACTGGGCCTATTCTCCGGATGCGTCTGCCAAGCACACAATAAGAACACTAAGAACTTTGGCTAGAATCTTACCAGCGTGAGAACAATGAGACGATAGGCCTCCTCGATGTCATCCGTGCAAGATCACACAGCCGGCGTAGCGCGACTGCCAGCGCTATCCCCAAAAACCCTAAACCCTCACTGCCAATGAAGAGCGCTATAGATATTTGAGAGGAGCACGAAGTCGGATGAAACCCCGGACGATTCCTCCAATCCAATCGCCCCGCGCGCCGCGCGCTGCCCCATTTCCATCTCGCCGTGGATCCGGCAAGCGCCAAGGAGCGATCGGCAAGCAGTGCTGTGCGGCAAGATTGGCATCGCTGCGACGAGATCCTCCGCCTCAAGAACACGCCCAGATCGCCCTAGCGCGTCAACGACGCAGTTGTAGTGCTCCGAGCAGGGCGCCACGCCGTGATCCGCCACCATAGCCACGAAGAAATCGCGGCTCTTGTCTGCGAGGCCGCGATGGCTGCACGCCATGAGGAGGAGGACGAATGTGATGGTGTCTGCCCTAATCCCTCGCAAGCTCATCTCCACAAGCCCTTGGAACACCTCCCGGTAATGCCCATTCTGGGCATATGCCGCGATCATCGCGTTGCAAAGAACTGGGCTTGGCACCCTCGATCGATCGAAGAGCTCCTTTGCTAGATCCACTCGCCCGGCTCGCGCGTACGCCGTGATCATCGAAGTCCAGGCCGCGATCACGGAGTCCTCCCCCGGCATTGAATCGAACAGCGCCTTTGCTCGATCCAGATGCCCCAGCCGTGCGTGCGAGAAGATTATCGCGTTCCACGACGCTGCATCTTTCACTGGGATGCGATCGAAGAGCGCGCGAGAGAGATCGAGGTCGTGAGAGGATGACTGGAGGAGAGCGCTCCAGGAGAAGGAATTCCGGCGTCGCATCGCATCGAAGATCGCCTTGGCTTGGATGGGATCCCCGGCGAGAGCGTAGCCCGTGATGATCGCGTTCCAGGTCGAGACGTTGTGCCCGGGCATCCGATCCACTGCCGATCTCGCGCGCTCCAGGTCCCCTCCAGCGAACATCGCCGCCGCGATCGCATTCCAGGCGACGATATCGCGCGCTGGCATCGATCGGAATGCCTGCTCTGCGCGATCGAGCTGCCCGCCCTCGGCACACGCGACCACCACAGCCGTCCAGGAAACCACACTGGAATGGGGGCTCGCGTGGAAGAGATCTACGCATTCCTCGAGAAATCCATACTGGGAGTAGCCTGCGATCATCGCGTTCCAGGAGATCGCGTCCCGCGCTGGCATTCGATCGAAAGCCCTCTTGGCATCGGCGAATCGCCCCGTGTGGATGTAGGCATTGAAGATCGCGTTCCACGACACCACCGTCCGGGCCTCCAATCGATCGAAGACGCTCTTGGAATCGTCGATCCGCCCGGCCTGCGCGTAGGACGAGACGAGGATCGTGGATGCCAGCGCCGTCGCGAATGGCATTCGATCGAATAGAACCCTAGCGTCGTCCAGGCGATGATTCTCGGCGCATGCCGCGATCGCGGCAGTGCACGACAAGGCATTGTGCTGCGGCATCCTCGCGAGGAGCTCCATCGATTCGGAGACGCAGCCATTTGATCCATAGCCGGCGAGAGTGGCGTTCCAAGACACGATGTCTCTGCCGGGCAAAGAATCAAACAAACACTTCAAACACTCCAAATGCCCAGCTTGGGCATTTGCAGTGAGAAAGCACGTCGCCGCTACTACGTCCCATCTGGGCATTCGATCGAAGATATTTCTAGCTTGCTCGATCACTCCATGATCTCCAAACGCCGAGATTAGATCTGTCCAAGTTATCTCGTCTCGCGACGGCATTCGATCAAAGATCTCCTTAGCTTTCTCCAAATGCCCATTTAGGGCATAAGCTCTCGTGAGGATGTTCCAGGAGAAGAGGTTTGGGTCCGCGATGCTATCGAATGTGGCCTGGGCATCGTCCACGCTGCCGCATTTGCCAAACATCTCCACGGCCAGATTGGCGAGGCAGCGATTGTGCTTGTGAGCGGTCGACCGGATTGCCGCGAGGGCCTGGCGCGCGCGATCCAAATCGCGGGATTCGCCACAGCTCTTGATCAAGCACGCGAGCTCCTGCTTCAATCGATTCGATTCATTGCCGGTTCTTCTCATAGGGGTTTTATTTTGCCCTACTTGGCTAGGGATTGATCGAGCGAGGAGAGAGCTATGGCGGAGCGCTTGGAGCACGGCTTGGCGCTGCTACCGCGGGTGAGATTGTTCCTCGTCTTTCGGCGGCTTGGTAGATCCGCTGTGAAGCACATCGATGAGTGGCTGCTCAAGGAATGGGTGAGGAGTGTCGTGAGGAAGAGCTTGAAAGTGGAGCTTGGAGAGAAGGATCTTGTCAAGTGTAGAGTGGAGGAGGAGGCAGTGACTTGGGAGCTCTTTGTGTGGGATTCTCAAGTGGAGCTTGCGAGGAAGAGCTGTATTGGAGCTCTTGATGGTGTCGAGTTTATCATCGGTGGAGCCAAGCTGCGTTGTGGTGTCCAGTTCGACGAGAAGGATAGCTTTGCGGCATTGCGATCTTCGTGGGAGACGGTCTTTGGCAGTGATGTTTCTGGTAAGTTCTCTCAGTTGTTTGGAGGATTCTTGATCTATTCTTTTCGGTTTTCTTTCAGATCATAGCTCCAAGTTTCCAGATACTTTGGTTTTGAAGGGACTGCCTTCTCGGTGGTTTGCTGAGCCACGCGTTTCTACTCAAGCATCTGTGCTAGTAACTCACACGGTCTTCTCCAAGTTTGGGAAACTCAGGTTGGTCGTAGTCTATTGTTCTACAACCGGTTCTAATCTTCTTCTTTGCAGAAACTTGGAGATTGTGAACGAGAGTGACACTGGGAAAACTTCATCGCTACAGTGCAACGTATGGATCCAATATGAAAGGTATTCTGGATTTTACAACGCAGTGGAGGCACTGTGTGGCCGCTCAATGCAAAAGGTGAGACTTCTTAGTAACCTCTTGTCGTTGGTACTCACGGTGGTATACGCAGGACGGTTCAAGTTTCAAAGCCAATTATCTGTTGGAGTGGGACAATAGCTTGTTCTTCAGTCCTATGAACATACGAAAGCGGCGTTTTGATAAAGAACACGCACTGAAGCTTGCGAACGACGCTCGGCTAGCTCAAGCACAGAAGGTGGCGGAGCAACAGAGAAAAGCCGAGGAAGCACGAAAGGCAGAGGAGGCTAGGAGAGCGGAAGAGGCTAGACTTGCTGAGGAGGCTAGGCTCGCAGAAGAAGAGCGGCTGGCGGAGGAGATGCGAACGGCGGCGGCCGAGGAAGCGGAAAGGTTAGCCAGAGCTGCTGAGCAAGCTCAAAGGTGAGACAGACCATAGCCGGATTGCCGTAGTTAGCGTTTGCTAAGCTGACTGGATGTTCAGGTTTTGCAAATGGTGTGTGCGGCTTGACGCGAGGAAACTGGTGTGGTGTTAGGGAAGAGGAGGAGCGGCGGCGAAAGGAGGAAGAGGAGGAGCGATTGCAGCAGCTTCGGATCTTGGAAGAACAGCGGCGATTAGAAGAGGTTCGTCGTCTTCTTTTCTTTTTCTTTCTCCACGTCCTTGAAGTTTCTTTTGTTTTTCGTGTGTGCATAGGAGCGACGGAAGCGGGAAGAAGAGGCCGCTTTGAAGCTTGTTGAGGAAAAGAACCGACAGATTCGGGAGGCAACGAGAAAGCTGCTAGAGGAACAGGCAAGGCGGTGTTTATTCTTGTCTTTCGTGTGTACTAAGGTCCATGTCTCCCAGGAGCAGCGGAAAAAAGAGGAGCTGCGAAAGCAGCAAGACGAGGTAAAGAGGAATCAGCGAGAGAGGCAAGAGAGGGAAGCTGAAGCCAGGAAAAATCGCAGATCCGAGGGAGCATCCGGGTGAGTTTTCTCCTAAATTCTCTAGCTTTCCGGTTCTTAAGCTGTTTAATCTTTCTTCAGGATTGAGCATGAAAGATGGCAGCTCTTTTTGAGCGAGGGAAACGAGCCGTGGCCTTTAGTCGAGCAGCCAGAGTCGAGAAGCACAAGCAACAGCCGGGTGCCATCGAGAAGGCTGAGAAGTATCATAGTTTCAAGTAACTGATGAAGCTATATAACATCTCTGTAGATCTTACATCATGGGATTAATATATTCTCCCTGGAAGCTTGAAATTGTCGAAGTATATAAGTAGTTTCCCTGGCTGTTGTTAACTCTTTCTTGGGTGCTATAAGTATGTTCTCTTTTCCAGGGACAGAGCACAGCACCCATTCCCTGTCCCGTAACATATATCAGATCTGAAGAAAAATGCAATTTTTCACCTATACTTTCAAGCTTGAAAGTACTTTGCATCTTTTCTAGTGTTTGTGTGTTGATTAACTTGCTTGGGAAGGATTTTGTCCCTGGACAATAGAACATGGAAGAGCAATTGTGTCCACTATGAAGGAGGTTAAAATTTTGCGCTTTGGGAGATTTGGAGATTGGTGTCACTATGCATGGGAAAGATTGAGACGTTGAAATTGTTTTCACATAAATTCTAGAGGCTAAGGCTTGCAAAGATAGGCAATGCATATGGGCTGTTCCTTTGGAAAATGTTTGAAGGTCCAAACTATAAAATGTTCCGAAGTTCAAACTACAAAATGTTCCCAAGGTTCAATGTTGTAATTCAAACTGTGGAATATTTTATAATTCAACCCATGAAACACATTTTGTTGTTAAATCCTTGGAATATTTTGTAATTCAACCCATATGCATGCTACTTGAGAAACTCCATGCTTGATCAGTCCTGTCGTTGTAGATGGTCTAGTCTAGCAAATTCACACTTTAAAATCACTTGTGGAGCTTCTTGGCCTCTCTGATTCCATTGCGAGGAAACAGACTCAAGTGGTGGCGTTTGATGCTGCTCTGTAACACCATTCTAATTGCTCTCTTCCCATCGTAAATCCTCTTGATGTTTTTTTTTTCCCTCTGCATAGCAGCTCCATCTTAGTCAGAACTCCATTGGTGGGCTCTTTCCCCCCTGTGCAACCGCTCCCAACTTGAACTCCTTTTTAAATATCCAGAAGTCTTAACGTGAAGAAGTTCAAGAATCGTTACATTTTCAGATCTGAAAATGAAGCGATTCTTGCAACTTCTGCACATGTCGAGTTCAGCATAGGCGTTTAAAAACCCATTTCTACCTTGAAACAACATTCCATCCTATTCCCCAATTCTTGATTGCATAAGAAACAAGATTCATCCAAGCTTTTCATGAAAGCTTAATTGTGATTCTTCACAGGCTGTTCGGTTAGCGCGGGGATCCCATGGCTTCTCGCGGCACGTCTGGGACTCCTGGTGTGCGAGCAGCTGAGATGAGCATCGTGGCGTCACGGTAAGAACATTCTCCATGTACTCGGCCAGAGAAATACGATGATCTTGCGGCGTTGCCTCGATTGGGAGAGGCGATTTTCATTTCCAGAAGAGAGGGAGTAGCAGATTGAGCCACATTTCACGAGCAGTGGCCAACGATTGGAGGCGCGGCCCGTATGAGGAGGACGCATTGAAGCAGCCGAGGTACGAGCTCTTATCCAGGCTTGTAACTGGGCTCATTTCCATTGGGCCACTCTTTACTGCGATGCAATTCGCGGGGCGCGAGGTTTTCCTTCGGTAAAGATTTGAAAGATTTGTATTGAGATTCATTCTTTTTTCTTGTAGCATCCAGGACTGCAGAGAAGAAGGGAATTCCATGGAGGAGTAAATCCTTGATTCGGAAGAAATTAGAGCAGAGAAGGAGCTGGTTGAGAACAAGTCGATCGTGTATCCCGAGCGTAAGTTCTTTCCAGCTAGAGAAACTTTCAAGTGCTTATGGTTGTGTTCGTTTCTAGATTATCTACAGAAGTTTCACGCTTATACCAACGGCAACCTTTGCTGGGAGGTGAGATTCACGCACGAACTTTCTTTCATTTCTTTTGTGACTGATAGCTACAAAACCAGGATCATGTCTGTGGTGTCAGGCAGCTCAAGTAGCCACAATGTCGATGGTAGTATAACAAGATTTGTTCATAGGACCCTCTAAATCCCAAACCTTGGGTGTAATACATGCTTCGAGACACCAGGGGGTTGAGAGCTGCTATAGCCAGAACTCGGTCCTCCCAGTCTCTCAAGTTTTGGACATGGGATGTTAAGTGTTCCTTTCTAGTAAATACGATGGCTTCCAGTATTCCCCTTTCCTCGCCGTTGCCCAGCACAAAGAGAAGCGCAGATTGCTGATGGCAAGCTCCAAAGGAACGGCCCGCATGCGAATGGCGAACATACAGGATTTCACCTTTGACATAGTATTGCGTATGTGGTAAGTGAAACTTGCTTTTCTTTCATAGAACCAGATGACGAAAGATGTGCTTAGATCCATGAGTGTCCGGTTCATGTGAATAAAGAGCTTCTAGAAGAGGCACATAGGATTTTCAAACTGGGAGGCACAATTGCAATCACAAACAATTCAGTATGTTCTTTTTTGTTTCTTTTATCATTCCACAGCCACTTGTGTTATTTACACTTCAAAAGTTGTTGGCTAAAGAAAATATTCTTAAGACTGTTTTTTATACATCATTTAATTTGTACAAGTTTTTGGTGGCTTGGATCTGGAAGAAGTAATGCACAAGGCAAGATTCATTTGATTTTCTCCGCATGCAACAAAACACCTCATGATCAATAGAATCACGAGTGTTTATCAAGATTGATCTAAAGAGTGGATATTATCATATTGCAATAAATGATGCATTTATCTCCAAACTGATCCCAGGGACTGTTCCACTTGATTAAAAGATGCTTAATTACAAAATTTGTCCGCCTTGATCTTTTTCTCTTAACACCTTGGGTCCACATTTAACAAAGGGACTAAAACAAATGGAAGTGATGAAGAAAAGAACCTACATATAACGAGGCGATGTTTATTCTTGTCTTTCGTGCATCAGGAGCAGCGGAAAAAGAGGAGCTACAGTAAAGAGGAATCAGCCAGAGAGGCGAGGGAAGTTCAATCAAGGAAAAGTTGCAAATCCAAGGGAACATCCAGGTGAGTTTTCTATTGTTCTCTATCTTTTCAGTTCTTAAGCTTTTAATCTCTCTTCAGGATTGGGCATGAAAGATAGCAGCTCTTTTTGAGCGAGGGAAACAAGCCGTGGTTGAGAAGCACTAGCAGCAGCCGTGTGCCCTCAAGAAGGCTGAGAAGAGAAACATCATAGTTGCAAGTAATTGATGGAGTTATATAACATCGCTGTAGATCTGACATCGTGGGACTAATACAGTTCCCAGGAAGCTTGAAAGTGTAGTTGAAATTTTTTTTTTTCTAGACTTTCAGATCTGAAAATTTATAAGGCTTCTGGATATTTAAAAGAGGCTTCCAGATGGATGGGGAAAAGAGGATGCTAGAATGGGAAGATAGTTACAACAACAGAACTGGTCACGCATAGTTCTCAAGAAGACCCCCAGAAAGGAGTATTCAATGGGTTTAAATTAGTTCAAACTACAAATTGTTTTAAATCTCTTTGCAGTGCTATAGGAAAGATAAGACCTTGAAATTGTTTTACCCAAATTCTAGAAAACTTCATGGATGACTAAGGCTTGCAAAGAGATGATCTTTGGAGTTCAACCCAACAATTCAACCATTGATAGGTATATTTACTCTTCTCCTCTAGTGGTTCTTCTTGAGAAATTCTATGTTTGATCAGTCCTATCATTGTAACTCTCTTCCTATTGTAGCATCTAAATCCTCTTTTCCCCACAACTCCTCTTTCACCTCTTTTTAAATATCTAGAAGTCTTAAACGTCCAGAAGTTTCAAGAATTGTTTACATTTTCAGATATAAAATGAAGCAATTCTTGTGAATTTTGTTGGTAGCGTTTAGAAACCCATTTCTATCTTGAAACAACATTCCAAGTAACTATAAAAATCCAGCAGATTGTTGATGTGAATTAGGATGTTCGGTTCTCCCGCGGATCCAGTGAAGGCCTCCATTGCCTTCTGGGACGAGCAGCTGAGACGAGCATCGTGGCCGATTTCAACAATAATCTAAGAACATTCTCTAGCCAGCGAAGTGTAACTTCACACGATGATCTCCATGCAAATTCAGCTCTGGTATTTTAGGGTTCTTGGGCTTTAACCATGAGGTCCGCGTGTGTCTGCGGCGTTGCGTCGATTGGGAGAGGCGATTTTCATTTCCAGCAGAGAGGGAGTAGCAGATTGAGCCACATTTCACGAGCAGTGGCCAACGATTGGAGGCGTGGCCCGTATGAGGAGGGCGCATTGAAGCAGCCGAGGTACAGTGGCGACGAGCCCTTATCCAGGCTTGTAAGTGGGCTCATTTCCATTGGGCCGCTCTTTGCTGCGATGCAATTCGCGGGCCGCCAGGTTTTCCTTCGGTAAAGCTTTGTAAGATTTGTATTGAGATTCATTCTTTTTTCTTGTAGCATCCAGGACTGCAGAGAAGAAGGGAATTCCATGGAGGAGTTTGTCCTCTCAAATCCTTGGCTCGGAAGAAATAAAAGCAGAGAAGGAGCTGGTTGAGAACAAGTCGATCGTGTATCCCGAGTGTAAGTTCTTCTTTCCAGCTAGAGAAACTTTCAAGTGTTTATGGTTTTGTTCGTTTCTAGATTATCTCCAGAAGTTCCATGCTTATACCAAAGGCAACCTTTGCTGGGAGGTGAGATTCACGCACGAACTTTTTTTTTATTTCTTTCGTGACTGATAGCTACAAAACCAGGATCATGTATCAGGCAGCTTCCGAAGCTGAGGTAGCCACAATGTCGATGGTCAGGCGGGCGCTTCCAGCCGCAGAAACCACGGAAGAAGCGCTAGAAGTGCTCAGGGGAAACTGGATAAGAGCACTTGAGAGCTACCATAGCCAGAACTCGGTCCTCCCAGTCTCTCAAGTTTTAGACGTGGGATGTTCGGTTGGTTTGAGCACAATCTACCTTGCTGAAGCTTTTCCTTCTGCTCAAATCACTGTGTGTTCCTTTCTAGTAGATAGTTTTCGTTCTCTTGCTAACGATGGCTTCCAGGGGCTAGATTTATCCCCCTATTTCCTTGCCGTTGCCCAGCACAAAGAGAAGCAGCGGATTGCTGATGGCAAGCTCCAAAGGAATCCCATCCGCTGGCATCACGCAAATGGCGAACACACAGGATTTCCTTCATGCACCTTCGACATAGTGTCCATTGCGTATGTGGTACGTGAAACTTGCTTTTCTTTCATAGAACCAGCTGACGAAAGACATTGTGCTTAGATCCACGAGTGTCCGGTCCATGCGACTAAGGGACTTCTAAAAGAGGCATATAGGGTTCTCAAACCGGGAGGCACAATTGCAATCACAGACAATTCAGTATGTTCTTTTCTCTTTCTTTTATCAGTCCACAGTAACTTGAATCTCGTTGTTGTTGCAGCCGAAGTCTAAAATTCTGCAAAGCCTGCCACCGGTGTTATTTACACTTCAAAAGTCGACCGAGCCTTGGTTGGATGACTACTATGGCTTGGATCTGGAAGAGGCAATGCGCGAGGCGGGATTCATTAGCGTTTGCGCGAGATTAACCGATCCCAGGCACAGGACTGTCAATGGGACTGTTCCACTTGCGGGTAAAGCTGAGGTTTAACTTACTGGAGCTGGAGCATCACACAAAGGTTGCTCAAAACTTTGCATAGTTGGCGTGCCTTGACAAGATGATCCAGCAGCAGGAAAAAGAAACCTTATCTTTGTGAAGGACACTGAAGTACAAAGTTTGTCAAAGGTGCCAAGAGCGCTCTTGTTGGATCTTCTCTTTTTTTCTCTTGAGGCTGCTTGTTGGATCTTCACGAGTTTCGGATTACACCTTGGGTCTCTTATCCTCCACGTTTGCATCTAAAACAACCACAAAACGAAGAATTGAGTATGCGTGGTCCGAGGCCCAGTGTCTCGCTCCTGGTAAGGTTTTACTTGAAAAGAGGAAAAGCATACTTAACAGGAGAACCAAGCAAGCTGCTATTCACAATGTCCTCACCATAAAACACAATCTCCCACTCCTCTCCCTCCCTCTGCTATCGTGAAACTCATCAGCATCGAATTCGCTCACCACCAAACACTGGTCCCGATCCAGCCGAAGGTAGCACCCGATAGAACATCCCAGCAACTCGTGGAACACGAAAAACTCGCCAGGAACCATCCCACAGGTTGTATATCGCGATCCTCATGGCAAAACGCCACCACCTCACCGTGATCCAGCGCCGGCATTCTTTCTGGGCAATCGTCGCCCCTGAACCACTCGCCCCTAGCCGAGCTAGCAATGCAGAACTCTCGCGTTGATCGATCCCTCTCGCGGCTGTACACCACCAAAAACGTCCGGTCGCTGGCCACTGGGCGAAGGAAACTCCCACCGGGGCGGAGCTGTAGCACTGCCGGAAGTCCACCAGGCAACAATCTCGAGTGTCTGGAAGTGGCGCCACTTGCTGCGCGGGGAATGGTGTCGCGGATGCAGAGGTGAGAGATGCAGAGCATATTCATTGCCACCAGAAACAGAAATTTGGTCAGATGCAATCGATGATCGTTAGAAATTTCATATTAATTTGACAGCTACAAGAGTGAGATTATCCTTTGTCCCAGCCTTAAGTGCTGTGTCTATCACTTTCGAAGGAATCCCCTCGCATGTTCCATTCCTAATTGCATTGCCAACTACTTCACAGACACCTTGAAATCTCAGCTTTTCGAAAATCCCATCAGATCCAACCAAAAGGTAAAGAGGTCTTGGCCTGTGTTGCCTCAGGTCATATACTGTGAATTCCGGCACTGCGCTCATTCCAAACGCCTTGAGATCACGATCACCTATAGCCCTCGACACCTCAAACTCACCAAACAGCTTCCCGTTGCTGTGAATGCTTCCACCAGCTTCCTGGATCCGTTTCCTCTCGTCCTCCCAGTACGGATGATGGTCACGCGTCAGCCTTACACAATCCGCAGGCTCCATACCACAAAGGATAGCCCTCGAGTCTCCAAGGTTCAACACCACAAGGGTGTGGCCGGTGACGGCTGCAACACAAGCTGTGGTACCGGCGACAATTCCATGCTTTTCCGATTCCTTAATGAAGGCAGCCTCCAGTTCTGAGACTGCAGAGGACAGAGCGGCCATCAGCTGCAATTGCAATTGGGTGTTGTCGTTGCTTTGGTTCAAGTGATAGTTGAATCTTTCGTAGAACCAGGTCGCTGCAAAATCGCTTGCTTGTCATCTGCGGTGGCCATCAAAGACCGCAAACAGTCCCACCTTTCCTGGGATCGCCAACAACCTGTCCTCCTGGTATGCTCGCTGTCCCCTGTGACTCGCTGCCTCCCACATCACCACGCTTCCCATTTCTGTCTAGCTCTAACCTTAATCGTTTGAACTCAAAACGCCAGGAAAAGGTGACTATGTTAGCACACCTTGTCTTCATCTTGGTTGCCGCGCTCCAAGATCCTCTCACGATTTCTCTGCCTCGTCTACGCCTAGTGAGCCTCGCCTGCTGCTTGGAAGAAGCCCAAGAGCTATTGCAAACCGCTATGTCCTCATGCGATCCTAAAAGCATAAGTGACCCAAAATCAAGAATTTCTCCCCTTGGTTCTTTCTTCTGTGGCATTTCATCAAACATTGGACGCTTCCAAATATCACTATGCCACGAGCTGTAGCGCTTCTTAAAACGCGGGTACAATCTTGTACCACCTTGATCTCCGTATGACGGTTATGAAAGAACTTGACCAAGACAATCTCGTTCTCTAAAATAAAATAAAGCTTTTTGTTTAGCATTTTTCATTGCTCTCTCCAAGAAGCCTGATTGGGGCTTGACATGCACTGATGGCAAGAGCAGTATATTGGTTGCTGACTGCAACTTTGGAGTCAAGTGCTGGTCATACTATCAAAATATAATTCTAACAAGCCCATTGAAAGAATAATGATGAGAGAAAGGGTGTTACAAACACCTATTATGCAATTCATATTAATAGTCCTACATGTTCTTGGTGGAGGCATCAGACGAAGTTGTAAGCTTGCTTTGGTCTCCTGCTAAGTAAGTTCCTCTCTTCCGCAAGTTCATGCTTTTGGGATTCTGGCTTTGAAGGGCTATTGCTCCCAGGCATATAGACCTTTATTAAGAGAAATTTGATAAAAAATTTAATCAAAATTTAAAGTGGAATTCATGTTCAAGATAATTAAAAATTCCATAATGAAATTTTTGCTAGAATTCTTTTTACAATTTATTCGGATTAAGAACCCAAAACTTAAGCTCAAGCACCTGAGGCACCTGAGCTACTAAGCTCAAGCTGGGCTGGAACTCTTGACAGCACTATTGTATTGAAGGTTTTTATGGTTTACAAGTGTGTTTCAACAACCAAAGAGAATAATTCAAAAGATGATTTGTATAAGTTTAAATATAAAAGGAAAGGATCTATGAACAAAAATACACTTCTTTTTTCAAATTTTCTAATCAATTAAAGATTTTATAATACTTTAAGAAGTCCAAACTTAATAGTTTACTATGTGGTCTTAGCTTACTCCAGATATTCAAGAAAGGAAAAGAGATCTAACAAATAAAGTTTCTAAAAGGTTGAAAGTTTCCATATAGTTATTTATCTTATGTAGTTTAGGGTCATATTAGATAAAATTCTTGGTAATTTTGAAGTCTTGGGTATTTATTGGTATTTTGCAATACTTAGCAAGTATATGGATATGATATTAAATGCTTAAGTGTTTCAATTAGTTCTCACATCTAACAGTTAATAGTAATAATTGATTGTCATCTAGGATAGTTGATTATTTTTGTTAAAGTTTCTGCTTGATTATTGTTAATGATGGATAATTTGTCATTCTTTGGGATGTAGATTCTTCTTTGATAATGATTTTGCATCTCTATTAATAAGAGTCTTTTGTGATGGTGAATTGTTATCTTAATAGTTTTTGGCTTTTTGCATTACCACATTTTTTGTGATTTACTTATATTGGTTTCTTGGGTTTGAGATATCTATAAAGTGTTATTAACACTTGCTTGAGCAACTCTAATTCTTTATTATTATTAATTATAATTTATTTTGACTAATTAGTGCAATAACTAACATGAACAAATGTTTGTTAGCCTTGTAGCATTCATTTTGGAATTATTATTAATATTGGTTTTGATAGATTGGGATGTGATTTAATTTTCTTTGAATGATACATTCATGAGTTTTTTGCTTGTTAGTTGATGATATTTTTTTACTTTTTGAGTTGTCTTTTATAATTTTTCTAGCATGCTATCTACAATCTTTAGCAGTTAAGTTTATAATTGAGATTTTTTTGTTGGTATACTTACTATTGAATGTTGTTGGATAATTCATGATTGTGTAAATGGATTTTGTATTTAGCTTAGAATCTACTTACATAGAATATATATACTAAAGAAATTACTTTCCATATTCATTATATAAAGACAACTAGAGCTTTGATGTCAAAGAAGATTTATAAGACTAAATAAAATAATTAGGATCATTTTATTGTGTCATATCATTTTATATCATATCATAAACCAGATTAAAATGAATAACTATTTTTATAAGATTATTTAATTATTCTACCTCCAGTATATCTTTACTCTTTTTTAATTATACCAAAATATTATTATCCATTGCATAAATCAATTTCTTTACTTTGGTTATCATTATCAAGCCAAGCATTCACATAAAATGTTTGAGGGCTATCTCTTGCTCCTGTAATTTGTATCCACTCAATATACCAATCTTGATATCGACCAGCATTATCCCGTTGTATAATCATTCTACATATCTTATCTTCATTAGGTAAACAATCTCCCTGAACATTAAATATGTCAAGCTTGCATTTCTCAAAATTATCATCTTTGTTATCTATATTATAAAATGGTAACATACGCCCTTCAAGAGAGGAAAAAAAAATATCAATATTAGCATCAGTTCCTGCTCTGTCTAAACATCCAGTTTTTACCCTAAGTGTATAATCACACTAGTTAAGATTTTCTTAAGTTAGATTATGCACATTAACTGGACTTAAGTATTCAAACTCTTACCTTACTGCTGTATACAAATATGATAAAATATGAATACAAAAACATGAATAGAATGTAGTGTATATGAATTGTCATTAATATTAATTTTATAGAAACCTCATTAATAATTCAGTTTTATACTAAAACAAGTTTATCTTATCAAGCCCAGTGTTAAACATAGGATAAACTCTTATATTACGCTACTAAATATCTTAATAATATTATTATTTTACTATAATAAAACTAATATAATGTTTAAATATTTTTTCCTTCAGAAATACACTTGTTCTTAATATCACTACTATTGCTAATTAATAGAATATTCAATGCTTCATACCAATATTAAAGCTAGCCCTCTTGAGGAAAAATAAGTTGCTACATTTTGTATTGAAGTAACACTTGGCTTGAATGTGTATACTAAATAGTATATGCTATTAAAAGCTTAATAAAAATACCATAGTATTAATAAATTGCATTAGTAAAATTTAAAAGAACCTGATAGAGAGATTGATAGTGCAACAAAAAGTTTCTAAATCATTTTTTTTGTCAGAGAGAATATTTGATTAGATGCCTGGTTTAAATTATTTATAACTTAATAAATGAGCTATAGAAATAACTTTGGGTTCAACTGAATATTGTTAATATTAATACTAGCATTGCTCTTTGATTAATTAAATACTTAGTATGTTGTTTCATTTATTTTATACTACTCTTTGTACTCTATTATTAATGATGACACTTACTCATAGATGCATATGTCAGTAAGAATAAATAAGAAATGAAATATTTTATACACTCAAAGTGTATTTGTTGA